ACTCACATTTTCCAAGTTAGGTCGAAATATCAGATTCGGCTAGGAACTTGTTCCCAGAGGTAATTTGACCCGCTGAACACGAATATCATGGTATTATATTGCAAAAACCCTTGCGACATGTACTACAGGGGGGGGGCAAGCACAAGCACTCTTCCAGGCCACAATGGGTCTACACTTTCGAAAAAGTGGTCGCAGTTTCCTTACAGGATAGTGCAGGTGAGCAGAGGTGTTAGAAGCTTTGTCGGCCATGTTCTTGGACAAATGCAAAAAAACGCCCTGCCGAGAACCGATCCTACAGCGTCTCGCCTAGTAAACCAACTCGCTATCCGCTGCGCTCTACTGCCACGTTTCAAGTGGACTCCATACGTATATGTAAAGACGCTTCCACGTTTCCTCGCGATAGCATGTGAAACAGCCACGCGGGGATAAAACCCTCCATAACTCCGTTCAGAGAGTCGTTCCGCAAATTCTGAAGGTAGATTCGAGTTCACCGTCCCAAGACTCGTACAACGGTGTGCACCTCATTGGAAATGGCCGGGCTGACCTGTTGACCTTTCCTGGTAAGCATTCACCGTCGATATCAGTGCCTCCACTCCATTCAAGATCACTAAAAGGGTCTCAAGCACTCTTGCGAATAACTTCCAGTGAAATCGTGTCGCCTAGCAAACATCTTTGCCGATTTCAATACAACAAGGTTCGCTGAAGAGCTTGATTTCTGTAGTACAGTTTCTGCTTAGCTCCTTCAGTAGAACTATACAGTTTGGACTGACATCATACCTGCATAATGCGTTCACTATCGTGCTTCAGTTGGTTATTGTACATGACTCAAACTCTTTTCAGTGCATCTGACTCTCCATCTCGATACGAATTCGCTGTGGCGCGAGAATTCTTCCAAGAACTGGGGAGTCCGTTTCATGTCGTCGTTGCCTTGAAAGCCGCTGATGAGGGGAATCTTCTGCGGCCAAAGTCAGCAGTAACGTTCAAACTGAGTTCCTTTGAACAAGTATTAATGGAATATTTAAGAACATATCTCATTTCTTCCAGATATATCGATAAAGCAATAGAAATTGAGGATTTTCTTCAGTATAAGCTGAAAGTAGAACATGAGGGAAAGAAGTATTCTTATTCGGATTTTTGTGGGACGCAGTGTGAAACTAGTGACGCGGTAAGCTTTTAGTTGCAGCACTTTCAGTTTCAGTTCTTATTATTCTTGAGCTCTGATCTGCCGCGAATATTACGTTGTCCAGGCATTATTTTCGTTCTGCTCAAAGTTCCGGCCACTCAAAATCTCAGTTGAGCTAGTATTAACAACCACTAGAAGGCTCAGTGAACTGGGCAGCGAAATTTGTGAGTGCTATAAAGTACAAGAACCTGAGTCATTGTCCGTCGAGACAATAGCAGTAAGTCACCTCGGTCTCCTTCAAACTCAGAAGCTCTTTTGTCGAGGAGCTTTCGGAAAAAGCTCTGGACTTTCTAGTAGGAGATTCCTTACTGTGACTGCAGATTTCTTCGCAGCCACTGGGTTTCTTGACTAGAATCATGTGGATTATTCTGTAATGACTGCGGCGTGCTATTGAAAGTCTGCTCTGAGCTTCCAAGTCCTCCCATATTGGAACCTCGGCATTGTTTGTATTGCCCCGTTTTTGTGGAATTGCCACAAGATGGTTAGGTGAGATTTTGATTCGCCCAACGTTTCGACCCTTCGTCGTAGTCAGAGTCCTGAATATCTCCGATGCTGAGGAGCCTGGTGGGTAAGGAACATTTCTAACCCTTTGAGTCAAATTTAGTTTTCTGACAACGACAGAAGATTGAAACGTAGTTGAATAAAGCTACCATTTGATCAAACCGAAAACGAACCGATGCTGCATAATTATAAGGTGATGCTCATCATTGCTGTTCTTCTGCAAGATTTTGACGCCCTGCCCTAGCATAATAGAGGTTCCGCCAAGGCTTACTCGTGGCCCGGGTGCGTGGTCTCTCCCTTCTCCTTCAGGTATAGGAGAACTGTGACTGCCACCACCTTTTCCATTTACATTGACGGCTGGTAGAGTGGCACCACCCGGCGTGATGGGTAGGAATTCTTCGGAAGATTCTCATTTCCCACCTTTCTCGCAAGGCGACAGACTCGCCTGTTCGGTTGCCTCACTTAACTGGTTGTTCGCTGACTCGTGGCCTCTCGCGGGCAGACACAGCTGAGCCAAATGTAGCATGGAAAGCATGCGGCAATAACAATAATAATAATAATAATTGATATGGGAAATGTAAGGAAGAAGATACCCTGATGAATTTAAAATATAAAGAACTCACTAAACCACGAGGCAGTCTTGAAATACACCCACAACATAAATTTTGGCAACTTCAGAGGGTAAGGAGAGCATGCCATGTGAAGCCAGGTAAAATAATCAATTTAGCTGGCATGGGTCTATCTTCAAAGACTCTTTGATTCGAAAGTTTTATAAACATTTGTGCGCCAAATGTGTTTTGCACCGGAGGTCACCCTAATTGCTTCTCGCCTGCGCAGGTGAACTTGTTCACAATGATTTTCAGCTCTTTTAATCGTTCTTAATCAGTCTTATAAATCTCACGCCCAATAAAAAATGTAATCCCTGACAATTATCTAAGTGGGCTACTTAGCGGAGACATATACAACTTCTGGTTGGTGTGTGTAGATTGAATAAAGTACGAACGAAGGACATCGTTGCGACAGCATTTACACCTTTCACCATTTCCACCAACTCCTTACTTTTCCATATATCTCACATAGCCAACTTTTTGACTAGTGTTATGAGGGCTTTGTCTCTCCAAGGGTCCTAAATTTCGTCGCATGGAGTGCGCATAGGTTAAAAGTGTGTATAAACCCAACCGTGGCGTCATGGAGCAATGGTAGTTGTTTTCTTCATAGGTGACAGGTCGTAGGATCGGTTGATATGCAGTTTTGTTTAATCAAAAACATTTCTAGGAAAAAAAATCTAAACTTCGCCGCTACAATTTCAGTGCTTGCCTATGCATGCCTGCAAAACATTCTAGTAAACAAAAGACGAACACTTCTCAACAAGTTTGGACCGCTTGCTGACAACTAAAGGGTTTGAGAATACCAGAGTACGTAACGCACTTTACAAACGGTTTTGCGCAAAACAAAGCTTTTTTCGTGTTCGTGGACTCAGAGTGACCCTAGAAGCGAGTTTGTAACCAATTCCAAAATTTTAACACCATGCGAGTTTTGTTTTAACTTGCGATGTTTTCATTTAGACATTTTTTCATGTCTTGTTTTGCTTTATTTGATTCCCCTTCTGTACTTGTTGGCTCAATAATCCTACTATATATAATCCGCTAAGTGTGTCTGTGTGTGTGTGTGTGTATGTGTGTGTCACGAAATTCATAACACCTGTCCCAGTAGCAGAGAAACGTTGATTAAGTGATGG